TATTGTAGCCTTATTTTAAGTTTTGAAATCAGGTAGTATAAGTTCTCCAACTTTGTTAATTTTTTTTTGAAAATCGTTTTGGTCATTCTGTTCTTTTCCATTCCATATAAATTTTAGGATTAGCTTGTCAATTTCTATAGAAAAGCCCACTGGAATTTTGATAGGAATTGCATTTACTTCATAGATCAATTTGGGAAGAATTCCCATCTTAACAATATTGATTTTCCAATTCATGAACATGTTATATCATTTGTTTAGGTCTTTAGTTTCTCTCAGCAGAGTTTTGTAATATTTAGTGTACTTCTTAAATTTATTCGTATTTTATTCTTTTTGTTGCTATTGTGAATAGAATTGTTTGTTTTATTTCATTTTACTTATTTGTTGTTAATATGTAGAAAGAAAATCTATTTTTGCTTATTGATCTTGTATCCTACAATCTTATTCAACTTGCTTATTCTAGTAGGTTTTGTGTAGATTTCTTAGGATTTTCTATGTACACAATCATGTCTCCTGCAAGTAAATTATAATTTTACTTCTTCTTTTGCAATCTACGTGCCTTTAATTTCTTTTTCTTGCCTTATTGCACTGGTTAGAATTTCCAGTACAGTGCTGAATAGCAATGAGGAGAGTGGGCATCCTTGCCTTGTTCCTAATTGTAGAGGGAAATCATCTAGTGTTTCACTATTAAGTATGATGTTAGCTGTTTCTGTGATCTTATGACACGTCCCTGTCAAATTTTGAGTATTTTCTTACTTTTAACAACTGTTCCAGGCTCTTGTGATGTTTTTCCTGCCTCAGCCGTTTTTCAGGAACTCTAGTTTCTTGGTTCTTTTTATTGACAAATGATATGTGGGAACCAGGATCTAGGCACTAGGTGAGTAACATTCACTTTTTATCTGTTCACCTAGTGTTTTCAGAAATCCCCAACATCTAGTTATAAAAATATAAGAAGACCCAGAAGCAAGGGTCTTCTAGTTTGTCCCAAAGCACTTTTTGGTTGCTTTTTAGTGCCAAGTCATACCTGCAGCTGAATGAAAAATCTAGTTACTGGTGATATATCTATCACAAAAGCCCCAAATGACAAGACAGTTATGTCTTTTTATGAAAGAGCATTACTTGTACTAGCTGAAATTCTGTGGTGGAATAATCATTGCCTGCTCCATGTGTTTTTCCCCCATCATTGCAGCTTGAGAAAAGGGCTGAAGAGGAGGTCACATCATTTGGTGCCCATAATACTAAGTGTGAAAACTATCATCCTTGAATGTTTAGTGTGGGCTACATACGGGTGCTTTATGTAAATTTTCTAATTTGATCTCACTTCTACACAGTAGGGGTTATGATACTTCCTCTCTAATCTTTTCCCAAACATTCCAGCTGTGTTGTTTCAGCATCAAATGGATTCACTATTCATCAGAGCTCTGCTTAACTTGAGTTTCCAAGGGGTGGTAGCTGCTGATGCAGCATGGCTGGGAGTAGTGGTAGTGCCCCGGAGACTCTTGGAAAACTTCACAAGTAATATGTGGTTGGTTGGTTGTTTGTTTTGAAAGATCTAACAATACAGATGCCTATGAAGTAAACTGGAAAAGTGGCCCACTCCCCTCCACTGCCCAATCCTTTATCCCACCCTTATCCTCAAGATAACCACCCTAATAGTTTGGTTTATATTCTTCCAGATCTTTGTTTTTCCATAAACATATAAAAAAATGTCCTGAGAGTTGTTTTCAGAGGAACTTTTCTTCCCAAGAACTCTTTTGTCAGCTGCTCTGCCCTCAACTAACCTTTCTTTTCAGCTGGGCATTTTTCTGTTTGGAGTTTGAGGAAACAAGCCAGAAACAGGCTTGTTTCTTCTGAACTTGAACTTTTATACTCCCTGTTTGCCCCTTAAGGCTTCCTGTTCCTGAGTAATAATGTGTGGTACCAAGAAAGGTGTAAAATTAGTAGTTCTTTAAAATAAGTTAGATTACTCAAAATATTTTCCAGATGAAGTCAGTTTCTTTGCTCCTAAAAATATTAAGTTCCTTTTAAGCTGTTGATTGGAGAGTCAACTGATGATGTATCCTTTGGACTTAGAGAGAGTAGGTATGAAATGCCTTTGCTTATCTTTAAGTAGTAGCTATATGTGGCTAAAAAATGTATGTAAACTGAATGAAAATAATGGAACTTGTGAATGCTTTTAATTTACATAATCACCAATTACTATAGGTTTAGATTTACTTAGATTGGGTGTTTTTGAAACAAGCCTCCATTAGTGGCCTGTGTGAGGCCTTCTGCATGTATAAACACTTTTTCTCCTTGTTCTTTTTCTTTCATTGTCTTATTCTGAAACATTTCCTGGGAGATGGGCAACCTGTGTTTTGGATTCTAAAGGCACACACACAGACAAACCGAGCAAGTTTGTATCTTCACAGTGCATTTAGACATTTTAAGGAAGCTGAGAGAAGGGTCTTGCAGACATAGTGTCAGGGGCCCCGAGGATACTACAGGGGACAGGCTTTATGACCTTGCAGAAAAACTGCCTTCTGAGTGTATGCTGTCTGTAGAGTCTGGATGCCAGATATTATTTGTCCATCTGGACTTGACTTATGGCAGAAACCACTATTATTAGTGTGTTGGATTTTAAAACTATTTTCTCACTTTCTCTATTTCTTATATTTTGGGCCTTCCAAAGCTTTTTAAAGTCTGTCACTCTGAATTCCTGTAAGGCGATGGGGCCGTTTCTTGGCATTTGAGCGGTATGCTGTTGAGGGCAGCACACAAGAAAAGTGACCTGTGTAGCAGTCAGGGGGCCCAGGACTCGGGCTGCCTGGATGTTCTAGCTGGGTCTCTGCTTTTCCATCACTTGGAGTCTTGATTTCATCAGGAATCTCTGCAAGAAAAAAGAAGAAAGTTGCTTTTAGTAACCATTGTTTCCTTGTCTACCCCAGACCCTTATTTCTGAACCAAAAACAGTGATAACAGGTCGGAGCATTTGTATGTGATACTGTTATGAGTGAGTGATACTGTTTACTGCATGTTTTTGAAGCTACCTTCTACAGAATATCTGACATGATGGGTTTGTCCTTGCCTGGCAGTTCCTGACATAGCCATCTTAGCCAACCCTAGGTGTCTCTTAACTAGCTGTGGAGTTATTTCCCAGAAAAAGAGTTATAGAAATATCTTCTTACCCACTTGGCCCCTGTTTCTAGATACGCTTCTCTGGGAAGACATGTGGCCCTTTTCCAAGTTGCCATCCTACACATCATGGGGATTCTGAGAGGAAACAAGGAATAGGAAATGGCCACTTTACTTTGGCACTAGCCCCGCTGGGCTGTTTCACATTCTGCTTGGAAGCAGGCCACCCACAGCTTTGCCTCCCTCTTCCTCATTTGCATGGCAAGTCAAGTCAGCTAGATGCCAAGCTACTTGCGTTCAATGTTGTTGGCACCGAGGATTCATATGCTAGAATTCAGAGGCAGACATTGAGCAGGATGTGCAGAAGGAAGCGTGGTGTTTAGTGGGCACCTGTGGCTTCAAGGGAAAGTGTGATGGGCGGTGGTGCTGATAAGAATGTAGTGGCATGCTCTTGGACATTTCACCCACAAAGGGGCTTGTTGTAAACAGTGGACAAATGTTTCCAACCTGGCTTTTGTCTTATACCAGGAGCTTAGGGATAATGGAGGGGATAGTGCCCAGGTGTGTGTTTCATTCCTGTTTAAGAGGCAGTGTGGAGTTAGGCAAACCCAAATTTTAATCTAGGCACCACTCCTTATTGGTTGTTTAATTATAGAAGAGTTACTTAGCTTTTCTGAGTCTTGGGTTCATCTTCAATAAAATGAATGTGAGGTTTTTGTGAGGATTGAAGAGATAATACAGGCAAAATGCCTAGCATGGTACTTGGCATTCGTTAGGTGCCCAAACTAGCAGTAGTGTGTGTCTCTTTCATTTACTGTACTTTTTCAGTTTATTCATTCAACAGAATATTGAGTACTTATTGTGTGCCGCACCCTTTACTGGAGACATCGGCCGGAGGAAAATGCGTTCCTTGGTCCTAGTCAGATGAGTAGTCCATAATTAAAGCTCAGTGTAATAGAAACAATGATGGTGGCATGCACAGAGATGAGGCATCCTGTTTGGACCAAGGAGTCCAGGAAGGCCACCTAAAGAAGGTGGTATTCGAGCTGGTATTAAGTCTGATGAAAGAGAAGGAAGGGGCTTCAGGGAGCAGCACTTATAAGACGTGAGGGTCTGAGATAGCAGGATGCAAATGGGAACCACAAGCGGGGTATTTTTCAGAGCGTGCCAGCCTGAAATTTCATTTCCTTAGCCCTTTTCTCTCGTCACTTCGGTGTGTCCGTTGTATTGTATCAGGGGGGCAAGATGTGGATTCTGGAAAGAGGACTAAATGAGCTGGGACTGGGAATCTGTTGAGTGTACACAGCACAAACTCTCATGTGGGGTCTTATAAAGTCACTGGCAGGATTCGACTCTTCCTTTTGTGTGTGCTTCTCTATCATTATTGCACAGAATGTAATTGTCCCCTGTACAGTATTTCCAGAGTTTGGACTGGGTGGAGGTTTTTTGTTTTTTGTTTTTTTGGGTTTTTTTGGTCACCTTAATTTGAGGTTACTGGCATCAAAATCTAGTTGTAGCACTTAACGCTGTTTTAGCCCAGTGTCATTTTGAGTATTAGCAATGACGAGTCTGGGTTTTGTACTCAGCCTTTGCAGGAAGAGGGCGATGTCATGTGGCTTCTACAGGCTTTTTGTTGGTAGACAACACCAACAATTCCTGTAGCTGTAAACAGGAATTGTGGATCTTCCTTGGCCATTATTCTCTTACCAAAATACAAGGTCCTCTCCCCATTGAAGTTTGTATTTTAAATGTAACTTAAACATAAGAATTATCTGCTACTTCCTTCCCTCTACCTATTCTGAAAATACTTGATGAAGAGGCCAGAATTTCATTCAGAATTATCCAAAATGAATGACTTCTTATAGGAGGGTCTTGTTTTTTCCCCCCAGATGCTGTCATGAAAGCAGTCGCATTGTTCCCTGCAATCGTGAAAACGGGAGAATATTTTGTGCATTTGATTTAGAAAGTAAGTGGCCATGCTGAACTGACTGTTTAGGACCCGAAACTACAGGCTAGTTCAGAGATTTTACGTTAGAGGAAACATTGACTGAGGAAACGCATGAGATAGGTTTTCCATCCCTGGGATCGACCCAGACTGAAGCCGAGAATTAAGAGCAAAGAGAACTTCTGTCCTTTTCTTCTTGCCTCTATATCCTCCTCCTTGACCTCTCCAGACCCACTGTGGCTGCGAGAAACTCATTTTAAAATAATGTCACTAAAAATAATGTTGGTATCTACTTCCATTTTGTTTCTCCTATTTCTCACAACACATGGGAGGGAATTTAAGTCTATACAGTTGGCAAGATTCTTGAAGAGATGCACTTACTGCCCCAGCTCCAGAATGAACTTGAGGTCAGCAGGGGAATTCTCTGCTCGCATCTGAACTCGTTACACGTAAGACCATACCGTAGGTAACTGGGGGTTGGTCAGGGAGCAGGAGATGAAAACATGTTTCTCAAATGGTCTTTGACCTTTCAGAATTGGTTAGGGAGCTGGATGTAATTGGCTGGTTTCTCTGCCACCCCCATACTTTCCTTTTTCCTAGCTACACCAGTGTTAGGTGAGGGCAGGAAGCCACTCATGTAAAGTCATGGATGGTGAGATTTTTTTTTTGAAGAGGCAGTAGCTCTCTGAGTGAGAGAGTGGCAGCAGGCGAGCAGATGCACAGTGGTGGAGCCATAAAGTCCCAGTCCTCTGTGCAGCCAGCTTTGGTAGCATAAGAGCAGCAGGAAACCCACTGAAAACACTCCAGGAATCTGGTGTTTTTCTCCCAGGGCCCCAAATGATGACCAAGACTGGCCACCCAAGAAATACTAAAGTGGAACTGTATCTCTCACCTGAGGACGACTGTAGCATTGTATTTGTCCCCCCGGGGCTGTAACATTCCCAATTGTTTTTCTCCCCTTCAGGCCAACAGACTTGAAGGATGCAGCTGCTGCTACTGGAGGTGTGTGGCATCTTACCTAAGCCGGGCCATGAGGCCATGTGGCCATGATGTGGGCCCCTCATGCTCAGCAGGA